CATAGAGAGATAAAATAACAAAGTGTGTTTCTGTACGCTCATCATATGACAACGGTGATGGAGGTGCTTGGAAAGTGTCGGGTATTGTGGAATCCAAAATCGTATCAACCAAAAGCCCTAAATGAAATGCAGAAGCAGTACTTTGGGGAGATTCAATGTATCATGGCCTTATGAAGATGGATAATAATAACATCTTGGTACCCCACTAGTGACTTCATCACTTTTAGGATAGCAGTAGCACCCACCCATACTCCGTTGATTTGCTTGTAGGATTGTGGCCACGTGGGAAAACCATAGGATTGACTATTCTTGATTGAAGAGGAAAGAAGCTAAAGATACCGATTGATAAGATTCAAGAAACAAAGGTTAGGGTTTCATTTAAGGAGAAGAAGCCAAAAGACAGATTTCTTCTGCGTCTTCATATCTGAGGTCGGAAGAGAGAGAGAATCAGATATCTGAGGTCGGAAGAGAGAGAGAATCAGATATCTGAGGTCGGAAGAGAGAGAGAATCAGAGCCATCGTCAGAGGTAGAGAGTTGTAGAGGGTAATGAAATTTCTCGACCTCAGATCTGAGGCTTCAGATCTGAGGTCGGCGAGCCCAGATCTGAGGTCTGTTGAAGAGACTACAGCTCTGATGCCATATTAGAAACTTAGAATATATTAGAGAACTGTCTTTATTAATTAATCAAGAATATACAAAACGAACTGTCTTTATTTATTAATCAAGAATATACAAAACCCCATATAAATATACGGCCAGTAACAATTAAAGATAAATAACAACGGTTATAGATAATTACTAAATAATCCTATTATAATAAAGAGACACCTAATTAAGAGATATATACCCATACAAATACATATCCATAGTGATATGTATTTATAAGGACGTACATCAATACTAACGAGATATCCATATGCTAACAGGTCATACATTTTGTATTTACATGTTTTTAATATGAATTGCAATATTAACCAATAAATCATATTGTATAAATAGTTAATGATTGTTGCTCATAATAATGTGTATATGATTTTTTCATTCATGTGGTTGAGAGTATATGATTTTTTTATTTATGGGGTTGAGATATTGGAGATGACCGCAAATTTGTAAATCATAATCAATATACTGTTGGTAGTTGATTGTAATGATTGGTTTATTTGGATATGCTTTACTTGGTTTCTCGATCGTTGAGTTAATTCAAATTTAATTTATAAAAATTTAAATCATTGTTAAGTTTATTCAAATTAAATTAATAAAAATTTAAATTTGATGATGAAATTGAATTAGATTCCAATAAATTTAAATTTGGCGATCCAAGTTAAATATCTAATATATGAAGTTAAGTGCTTATAGATTTATCGAGGTTTTGCTTGCTTAATGTTTGCAGAAAAATTCATTTTTCGTTGGAGTGCGAGGGTTGCAATATGATTAAAATTTTCAAATGGTTTAGGCAGAAATTTAAGTGCGTTGTACCTAGAAAGATGATAAGATTAAAAATATATTTTAGGGTTGTAGTAACTAAGAGATTATATATTACGAGATTATTTACTTTTTTGGTACAAAGAGGTCACAATCATTCTATTTCAATTTTAACAGTCAATTATAATTACGATATCATTGTATAAAAAATAATGGTCTCAATATTTACATTCCAGATATTAATCTTAAAATCAAATGTAAGAAATGGTAAATAAAATAAATAAAGAATTCAAATATCCAACATAAAGAATAGTTTATAAATGTCTATGCACTGTTGTTATTTTTCGTGCATAGAGCAGTTCATGCATTTTTTAACAAATGAATATAGTTTGTGTTAATATTGGACATCAATTCAATGAGCTTGTAGATTTGCTACGCATAGTTGGTCTTACATTTGGCTTCTACATGTTTTTAGTATGGATTACGTTAAGCAATAAAATGAATTTTATAAATAATTAATGAACTGAAATTTTCTAAAAAAAATACATCTCTTAATATATATATATATATATATATATATATATATATAGAAGATACTA